CCTGCTGGACAAACTGCATACCCAGGGTCCTCCCCAATTTACTTGGGAATAGGGCTAGCACAGTTCTGGACTGATGGAAATAAGCCCCACAGCATCATGCCTTTGTCTCCAAGGGGAGAAGTTCATGATCAACAATTACCTGGGTCCAAAGCAAGACTGGACTGATTTTCCTCCAGCAGTTAAAGGTGAAACAGAGCATTGGTGGAAATGTATGTTCTATATACTCTTCTTGTGAATTTGCAGGACTACCTCAGGATCAATCACAAAGAATCATTATTCAATAAAATGAAATTTATGGAGCATGAAGACACAATTATGAACTGCCTTATCTACCACATAAAAAGGGTGATTCTTAGTCAAGAAGCCATATTTTTGTCATGCATCTACAATACATAGTAGATGTGCCTCTACTCCCAGAAGATAGGGATCTAGAGCAACACTGTTCATCATTCTATTTTTTCTCAAGGATACCTGGCTCTTATCTGAGCAACCAAAGCTATACCCATGGGCTTCTTTAATACTGAAGTACTTATCTATGCTAGTGCTGCTGCAGAAGAAATTTTTTGGCTCTCACAGGAAAAATGTGTTCTTATCTATATTTTACATATGTGTGAGTACATATGCTCTAAGACTCTAGGCACCTCTGTTAAATAGCAGAAAAAAATAAAGGCTCTAGAGATCTCAGAACAGAAAGAACGGTTGAAGTCAGCAACTAGCTTCACTTGCTAGTTCTCTAGTGCATTCTTAACAGCATAAGCTGTCCCACAGTATCAACAATCTTTGCCTTGAAAAAAGATCTAGGTAACAGGAAAGTTGAAAGAAAATGGGAAGCAAGAAAAATGTGTGTAAGCAGGACTGCACCACCAGCTTCTCCTGCACCTTCTTTGAGTAGCTGCCTCACTTTGTAGGTAGTTTTATTGCCTGTGAAAATGTATCCTTTCTAGGACAACTTTAAACTTGGTTTTGTTTTTCAGTCTCTGCAAAACTACTCTCTCTCTGAGAAATTAATGCATTCTGTTCATGCAGCCAAAATGCCAAGTTAGCAAAGGCTCTTTCCACTATGCTGGGATTGAGCCCTTGAGATTCCTAAGAGATCAGTGTGCCAGGGAACAGTGACTGGAGCTCTGCCAGTCTCTGTAAGGACCCTAGGAGAGCTTAATGCTTCTAATCATGCCAACTTCCACACCCAGATTTATACTCCTTAAGTTTTGTCACCTTATGAGTTTTTTACAGTATGTATCACATACTGTGAACCTTGGAAATTATTAGAGGTTAACAAGGCTTTAGGAATTACCCTCTTTATATGAGCAGTTAACCTGTAATCAGAGCTTCTATGGATTGCTGCTTTGGAGCATTACAGTATCTTAAGAACAGACAAAAAGCTTTACTTTCTGGTGTCTGACTGCAAGGAATAGCAACAGTAGGACACCTTCATAAATTTGACCATGTTTGTTTATGAAGCTCTTCAAAGGAGGAATGGAAGGCAAGAAAAATGCAAAACTTTCATCATTTAAGTGCTATTTCACTACTCTCTCAGTATGGAAAAGATGTGGCTAGTAGACACTACATTATCTGAAATGGCTAAGATGCTGCAGGTGTCTCTGCTTCCATACAACCATGTTGTGACGAGACAGTAAAGTCTGGAAATCCTGGGGATGCCAGCTAGAAAGTGATGGTTCTGAACATCACCCATCAAGTCTGTTAATGTCTGCAGCACTGAACACTTGCTGTCCTACAGCAGCTGGCAATTTAAGCCATGAGGAGTGTGTCCATCAGGTTGTAATGGTCATCAGGAACTTGGGAAGTGGGAGAGAGCAGTTGTCTATGTTCAGTTCAGTGACAATTAGCAGCACAAATTTCTTGTTAGCTCCAATGGAGGCTCACATGGGCTCCACAAATGCATAAAACAAGGTGGAGGCATCTCAATGTATATCCAGGAATGTGTGTGAAAAGATGAAGCACTTCTATAGTCTTTCTTTTAACAGTTCACAAATTAGACTTGCCATTAGTATTGCTAGGGCAGTCTTGTATTCAAATCAGGCCCTATTTCTGCCAATCTGGTTAAACTGCTGCGGCTGAGTTGTCATGGACTTCCCCTTGAGCTTGGAAGGCCCTGCTAGTTGGAAGGCAGCAGGCGAAAGCCACCACTATCTCGCAATGGGATTCCTTTAATCCTTGGCATCCCCTCACATGGCTGCTTGCTGCCTAATGAGCTGCTCCTATGCATACAGTTAAATAGACTTGTAAGGACCTGAAAGCTCTTACTGCTTCAGCTGTTACTTTGGCAGAATTTTTCCCTCCATTTACCACCTTTGACAGCATCTAAAATACATGCTGTTTTTCAGATGCTATTGAGGCCAGTCTGAAAATGCAAACAAATTGGCTTCTGAGACCAAATTTCAGCCCAACTGAATATACCTTTCCCCAAGAACTAGGCTTAATAGAAGTTAAATCCATGTTAAAATTCAATGTAGCTTTATATAAAACATCAAATATCTGCAACATGAATGATATACAAAATGAATTTATACTCATTTTTTTTCTCCCCAAACCCTTTTGTGCTAGAGATGCTGCAGTTAGAGCTGAGGGAGCACTGTCTGTGGGAAAACATGTCCTCTATCTTAGAGAAAAGGGGTTGTAGAGAATGATGGAAATAGGCTGGAGAAAGAAGAGATGCCACTCTGGAGAAAGGAATTTAATTCCATCTCTGCTATAAAGTTGCTAAGTGGTACTAACTGATCACTTAGGACAAATGACCAACTCCTTGTGCTGTGGAGATATTTTTCTCCAAGCCACCTCTTCATGCCTGGTTGTTTGAATCATATACCCAAGCAGCTCTTCATTACCCACACCACGAGGTGCTTGATGTATTCTAGGGACTAAAGGATCATAGAATCATAGAATGCCGAAGGTTGGAAGGGACCTCAGAGGTCATCGAGTCCAACCCCCCTGCTCACGCAGGGTCACCTAGAGCACATGGCACAGGGCTGCATCCAAGAGGGTTTTAAAGATCTCCAAAGAAGGAGACTCCACAACCTCTCTGGGCAGCCTGTTCCAGTGCTTTGTCACCCTCACAGTGAAGAAATGCTTCCTTAAGTTCCTGTGGAACTTCCGATGCTTCAGTTTGAAGCCATTTCCTCTATGGGTTAGAATATGGCATAGAGCTACCTGAGTGGACTTAGAGAGGGCTCACACCTAGTGCTAGCTGAAGTCTGTCTAGTCTTGTTAGATCTCGGGTGCAAACCCAAAGTGCCTGTACTCACGAGCAGGCCATGGCTATAGCAGAGCTGTGTTTGCCTGGCACGGTGCCCAAGCTGATGTGCTCTGTGGGCCCAAGCTGACTCTGCACAGTCAAATGTGCTGTCTCCCAAGCTGCTAGTCTGCAACCCACATAAATGGTCCACAGATAACAGACACCTATTTCTAGTCTGTGCAGAACAGCTTGAATATCTGTTATGATATTTCAGTGTTCATGTCCTAGACCTCTAATTGCTCTTGTTCTCCCACTACTTTTATTTTCAGCTTATATAAACTAACAATTGAGAGCTACTTGTTCAACTGTCATCCAATTTCCACACCTTCTTTCAGATAAACTCATCACTTTCAAACTTCCGGATTAGGTATCTCCCTCTTGTTTTGCAGAATTTCCTTAAGGTGTTCTATTCTTTAAAATCTCTAATTCAATTAAAATATCCCTTGCCAGGCAGGAATACCTGTTATTTGTTTAAATAGGTTTTGCTAATAAGGCTTATAGCAAAATTAAACAGAAATGTGGTACAACTGAGGTCAGAGCCTGAACATTTAGGGATTTCAGTTCTGTTTTTTCAAGCTTCCAGACTAGTAACTATTTGCTTCCAAAAATAAAGAATGTATTGCTGTATTTTTTTGCTAAGCTGTATTTTTACCACCCTTGTAGCTGGTACCAGCTGTCCAAGGAAAAACAACTCTCTTCAGTTTTTGATCTATTTCAGACAAAAATAGTTTTTCTCCATGCTGGGCAGATTTCCCGACTTTTCAGTAGGTGAATAATATCACAGATTTGCTCATAAAGCAGTAACATAGTGTTATTTACAACATTATTTTCAAATGCAAATGACAATGTCTGCAGCTGGGAAGTGGCTCCAGCTCTGAAACCACTTAGTGCTTTCCCATCAACTGCAACACATGCTTTTTAGTAAATCCAAATGTTTATGCAAGTCCTAGGCCTAGTTTAATGAGCTTGGGAAGGTTCCCAGGACATGGATACTAATGCTCATGCTTGTTAATGATACAGCTCCATTTTCAGCAAATGTCAAGCCAATTCCATCTTTCTGTAGTCATCTCCACAGGAAAAGCAAAATGAACAGCTTTGGCCTATAAAACTTTAGGTTTCCTGGCAGGATGTGCTGTGGATCTCATGCTTTTTTGCCTTGCTCTGCTTTGTGACTGAATTTCAGGTATGTTTACCGTGTCCATTGCTTTTTGTACATATTACTGCATGCATGCAATATATTCTGTGTAATCCAGAGAAGAAGGGTGTGAAAATAGGTTTTATGAATTAACAATTCATTTGTAGCCAACTATCAACCTCTCAGTTCTGAGGAGCGTGCAGGGACTGAGATGTGTGTAGAGGTGACAAGCAGTAAGCTCAATGTGGAGGGGAAGGCAGGCATCCTGCCTAAGCAATAGCCAGAAGCAGGCTTGCACTGCCAGAAAAATCCATGTGCTCCCTAGCTATTTCTCTGGTAGCAGCAAAAACGCACCAGAACTGGGCCAGAAACTGTTTTTGTAACTTCATGTGATCATGGGCTTCTAACAACCCTCAGCGGGGCAGAACAGATCTTGTAGTCCAACATCCGAAGTACAAAAAAAGCTTTTACTCTGTTCTTACCTCTGGGAGGAGGTATGGAATGAATTCCTAGTTACTGTTATCACTAAAGCTGCAAGGACAATGCTGACCCTAGCACAGCTAGGAGGATTTGCAAAGAAAAGGTCTCTACTTCCTTTTCTGCTTTTCCTAGGATGAGGTTATGGCTACAAGCTCCATCTCAAGCATCCAGCAAGAAGACAACAGGAGAGCAGAGCTGGGAAATAGTTCCAGTATCACCAGACTCAAGAGAAAAAAGTTCCTTAGTCATATTGCAAAGAAATCAACTATGTACCTGCAAGTCAGAAGATGGAGTAAGCACAGTTAAGAACAGTGCTTTTCTGGTTTGTTTTTGATATGGTTTTGTTCTGCACATGGAGGTGTGTGGGATGCTTTGTGGAGATGTGTGATAAAGAATGAATTAGCATTTTCCACACGCAGATGTATTCAGGAATCCATTCAAATCGGTGTTTTCCTCAGTTACTATATTGATCCTGCTTCACACTTGCAGACTTCCCTTTCTCTTCACTGGGTTCCAACAGGCTGCTGTGCTCCTTGGAGATCCTCTAGGTCAACACAGGTTATGGGCCTTACATGCTCTGCAGCCTGTCTCCTGTTCTGCTTTCCTCACCTCTCGTGTTCCAGTGTAAGCTTTTCTGTTCACTTCTCCTATCCCAAGCATAATCATTGCCAGTCCAGTGCCATGGTCAGCTGTTGACTTAAAGATTGTGAACATGGCAGTCTGTCTGTCTAATAGAAATAGGTTCCCTTTCCATAGATGACTTGTTTCCCAACCAAATCTGCCCTTAGCTGTCTCTTTGCCCAGGCTATTTTTTTGCTCAGACTATTGCAGCTGATTCTTCCAGCAGTTTCCATTTTCAAGCTCTAATCTTTCAAGCTTGAGCTCATTCAAATGCCTTGCATTCTCCTATTCCCTGGCAGCGGGCTGTGCGTAGAGCCCTTTGGCCATCTTTAGCAGCACTGCAACACTCCCAGGCTTCTCTTCTCCGGTCTTCCCAGATTTTGCAGAGTCAAATGCGAGGTTACTCTCTACAACAAAGTAGTGGCACTTTTCCACCTTGAGACTCCAAAGCCTCAATGCCGGTTTTTCACTGAGGAAACCTGGTTTGTGTGACTTGTGTTGCAGGAGAGGCAGCCTAGCAACTGCTGTGCCTGCTGCACTATAGAGGCTCTGCTGACTCACGCGCTGGATCATGCAGGCAGGCATCCTGCTTGGTATGGGGCTGTGCATGCCCTGCGTGCAGCCCCCGTGCATGCCCTGCGTGCAGCCCCCGTGCATGCCCTGCGTGCAGCCCCCGTGCATGCCCTGCGTGCACGAGATAGAGCCCCTTGGCCTCCCTCTGCACAGCTCGCTGTATTGTCATGCGTGCAGCCTCCGGAGGGTGAAACGAGGAGGCTTCTCCTGCTCTTTGCTGATCACGTGCTGCCATGGCTCCTGGGGCAATAATTAAAATGCTGCAGATGAGTAGAGGCCATCTGCAGAGTTAGCAACCTGGAAAGAACTGCTTGTTTCTGTTTCATTGCCAGTAGCTGCTGCTGGGTGCTTCCCTCCGAGCAGGAACCCTGTACAGATCAGGGCAAGCACCAATGACTGCAGGCTCTTAGTTAGGAATAACTGACACAAGGGCTTTGTGAAAATAACTCTTATAGATTTTGGTAAAAGTGTCAAGAGTTGAAGCTGTAAGATGCATGGGCAAGTGCTGCTTCAACTTCCTAAAATATTCATGTTGGTTTGGGATGGTTATTTTGCGCCTTTTATCAGCTGCAAAAAAAATGCATCCATCTGCCAGATGGACTGGTGCTCTGAGCAAAATCAAGAACTAGGAAAGTCCATCAGAATAGGAGAGTTGCATGTATATTTTCATTTTATTTTTTATTTTTTTTCTACTTCTTACTGCCTAATATTTCAGCTACTTTTAACTCTTAAGCAGTTTCTTTTGATCTTCAGCTCAATCATATTAAACTATACATTTGTATAGTCAATGGAAACATTTAAAATGCAGAGCTTGGTTCACAATAGGTAATATTAAAATAAAGGAATGGTAAGGTTAGGAGGCTAACTATGGCTCCTTCCTTTTCACTTGCTTGCTTTTGCAAATTTAATTTGCTGAGTGGCTTCTGTGTCTTATACCCTGTGTCACTTACTGGCCCCAATGTGTAACTGCTAACAAGCTGCATGCTAATTCAGCTGCCAGCCTTTTTCTTTTGACCTCAGTTTGTCTCTTGCTCAGAGGCTGATGGGAATATCTGGAATATCTTCTCATCCACATGGGAAATATGTGGGTTGTTCTTTCCAAACTGAGCTGCAGTCAACCGAACTGCTGAGCAATGTCAAGCGTTTGGATGGGATTGCCTCAGGACTAAATGAGCTGGGAAAATACTGGAGTTTGTCTTTGAATTTCTTGTATAAGGAAAAAATATATGGAAAAATAAAGTTCATAATAAACTGCCAAAAGGAAAATATTGGTGCGTATATAAGGAAAAAACCAAACTACTATGCTTTTGTATTTTGTACATTTTACAATTACAGTATATTTTGTATATTTTTGAGAAGCAGTGTCTGGTCTAGAACTATGACCTTCAAAGCTGGATTTGAGCCAATGCTGGAAGATATGAGCTGGGATTGTTAAATTTGCATAAAGTACTCATTACTATACAAATGAATGGTGTATACTGAGCACTGTAGATCAATATTCATCAGGAGAGTTAGTTTTTCATATTGGTTCTTTGTAGACTGTTTTATAAATATAACATTCCTGCAGAAAGCAGTAAAGCTAAGGCTTAAGGATATAGAGAAACATCTCAGGAGAAGATGTCTGTTAGGGAAAAAACCTGCTGTATTTTTCTGTATCTACTGAAATCTAGCCACTAGAATAACTGCTGAAACTGTCAAGGATGTCCTCCCAGAAAGACTCGGACTTGACCTGGTGTTTTCAAGTCCCTCTTTTGGACACTTTGGGAGTATATAGTAGGCTGGTGAACTCCATGATTTGTTCTATGTGAATATTCTAGTGGAGATGATGCCTGAGGTAGACATATGAATAGTGAATGATTGTGACTTTTATGTGCTTCCTTGTTCCCCTGCATGCTTCTTGCTGCCCTTTAAAATTGTCTGTGATGTGAAAACCTCTTCAGAGGGTAGGAATTTAATATGTACATCTATAATCTACAAGATGATCAACTTGTATCAGATAACTAGAGCCAGGTCCTTGGCTAAAAGAAAAAGAGAACTTTCTGGAGGTGGAGGTTTGCTTGGTGTGTAGCATCACTTCAGTTTTGTCTAAGTTGAACTTGAGCCGGTCTCTTTCCCAGGAATGATCCTTTTCAGGCACTGTGGTGTTCTTGCAGCTAGGTTGGTTCCCTCTCTGGAAGAGTACAGGAGGATAGCAGCAAAGAACTGGCAGAGGTGCTTTTGTCCAGGAGGAGAATGTACAGCTAAGACAAAATATTTTATAGGAAGACCTTGCTGCAGTTGTGAAATAAGCCAACTAGAACTGAAATCATGAGTTTGTGTGGGCAGAAAGAAAAGCTTGGTAAAATGCACTGCTCTCCTGTAGATGTAGCTACAGGTTGATTTAAAAGTGGATTTTTCTTTGAAATGATAAAATTCTACTAGATGACAAGAAAAGGTAGTGAATATGTGTGCTGAGAATACCAGAAGAAGTTTTGTTTGGGGATACACAATATTTAGCAGCTCTGCAATGGTGCTGATATTAGTTTGCTGATGCTTTTGCTGACTTTCTAATGTCAGATAGCCAGTAACTTGAGAATGTTACATGAGGATAAAACTCATTCTTAATTCCCAAATGTGCTTCCACTTCTTGAATGCCTTTGACCTCATGTCTTTTTCCCAGATGAGCTTTCATAGAAGCATTTCATCTGAAAATGCAACCGTCATGTTCTATCCCTTCCTAAAATCCTCTCTTGTCCTCAGACTCTCTCCTCTGGCTTCCTTGTTGGTCCTTTCATCAACAGAGTAATTCAAAGATGTTGTGAACTTCTCATTCTCAGCCTAAGAGGGATTTCATAGTTGCAGAGCGATAAATTAGTAACCCTGACCAGCAATAACCAGTTTGGGCACTGGAGAGGAGCAAGAAGGTTTAATACTGCAGTGTCTATTTTTCTATCATTCCTTTAGGTGCAAAACTTTCCTTTATCTGAGTGCAATCCATCCTGCATTCCCACCTATAACCCTTAGCAACTAACCTGTTTTCAGACATTCAGCCTGCTTTCAGAATTCAATTAAAGTTTTAAAAAAATCCACCAAGAAAAATTATGAACAGCACTGTCTGCCCGTGATCAATATTTAGAAGCTGTGTTGAACTGCTTTGCATTCCTCTCAAAGTACTTTATAAATAACTATATTACCCTCTTGTAAGGGAAGAAATGTGTTTGCAAATAACCAAAAGCACAGGCACAGATGTGTTAGAGCCAACATTATTAAATGTGGTTGTCCAAATATAGCAATTTGGAGACCTACTTATTTTAATATTTAGTGTATGTGTGTCTCATTGACTTTAATAGAACCAGAAGATGATCTACAGACTTGAAAAATGAAACTGTTCTATTTAGCCATATAGATAGGTAAGCCAAACACCTAACTTTAAGCAATATATCCTTAAGTTGAATGTTTTTCACATGTATTATTATAGAATAAATTTCAGGGACATATTTCATCAAAGGTTCCTGAATGATTTAATGAAATAGATTTCACAGGAACAAAACCATCTCTGGGGTGCACAGTAAAAGCTACTTTACAGCCCATAGGAGCTTTACACAACAATCTGGGGAATAAAATGAGAAAGGTTATATTAAACTGAAACTGCAGGGAGAATCTAGGTCAGGATGCAATTACTTTAGCTGATTGAGCAATGTTTTTTAAATTCCCTAATATTTATTAGATATCAAACTATCAAGATTTACTTTCATTTGTAAAAACAGAATTGCAAAGAAATAATCACCAGCTATATGTTCAAACTTATTTTTTGCACCATATTTAATGGAAAATACATTCATAAGCTGTGAAGTTAGTGTGCAGAAACTGTATCACTTAAAAGATTAAGCAACACTGAAATAATGTAAAAGATTGATATAAAATCTTCACAAGATATACAGCAAAAGTATTAATTTGTGTGTATTTGAATTTGTGAGCAGAAAATGTTTTGAATGAATTGCATATCAAAGCACTTCTATTTTGGATTACTGACTAGACTATCAAGATTGACAATCTGATTTTTGCACAAAGTGCTGTGGAATTCAGTGCAAGTATCAGCACCTCACTTGTGTAATTGATTTAAACTGAAACACTAGGTGATCTCTAAAGACCATTAAAATTCAAGCCTATCATTTTATACAGTTATCTATTGTTAATATCTTCTGGGAGGGTAGTGTCCTAAATCCTATTCTAGGGAGAGAAGAGCTGCATGTTCTATGAGGAAGCAGATGTTTCCTTCTATTTTGAAAAGTACTTTAATAGTGATACCACAATTTAAATAGCTACCCAAAACAGTTGAGACAAGATTCTTCATTGTGTGAAGTCTAGCTTTGGCTAAAAGCAAACAGAAAACCATGTACAGACTTCATGCCTACTCAAACTACAGAATATTTCTGGTTTTGTAAAGTAACTGACTTGGTAATTATAATATTCAGAGTATAAAATAAGATGCTGTAAATCAACACTGAGCTTAAGCAGATTGATTCTCTTTAACTATTGCTATATTAGGTTATTTCACATTTTCAATATTTATAATAAAACATTTTATAACATTGTATATTAATAAATGCATTCTCCCCTCCAAAAAGTAGTGATAAGTTTCCCAAGAATACTTAATTTACTTTTTCATGTGTTTCTGACACCCACAGATGCTGAAAAGGAATGTGAATGTAGAAGTAACTAGCAGTGACTATCTTGAACACTATTGACTGGAGTATTGCCTATCAGCTGAGATTTCTGTATTCTTCAGGGGAAAAAAATCAAGATGTGTGATTAAAAAGGCATGTTTTATATTAAAATAATGAAAAAACCCTCTTCAATATGTCATCTTTTTGGAATGAAGTTGAAGAGGAGCCTGTGTCTTTTTACATAAAATGCAGTCACATCTGTCAAACTTTCCAATGTTTTACTATTGTAAACAGGCTAAGTTTAGTGTACTACTTTGTTTTTTAAATATATGAATATTTTTATAGCTGATAGGTACTAAAATACAAGTAAAATAGGTATTATACATAAAGAAAATATTTTAAGCATTCTTGCTGATGGCTCTTTTATGTCAGAGCATGTCATATAGGTGCTACCTGAGGCCTTAGGCCAAACTTTTCAATCTGGACAGTCAAAGCTAAAGGTAGGATTTCTGCTTCCACTTTGAGGCAGCACTATGTAAATGTCAGACCTTGCAAGGTTCTATATCTTGATGCTACTAGACAGGAGCAAAAACAGCCTCATAATTTTGAGAATGAGATCATTTCCTTTTGGGTCACAAAGGATGGCTTCAATTTAGAAGCTAAACCTGCAGCATTGGTTCTTTTTTGCTTCTGGGCATTACATTGTTGCACCTTCTGTTAATACCTCTCAAAACGGACTTGAAAGAATCTTCACTCTTCCAATCCTAGCATGTTTTCTTGTCTCTGTAGTTCTGTACTACTTACTGTAGTTCTGTTTTCTCCCAGCTTACTTCCTATTGCTTCTTTTTTCTATCCTTCTTTATTGTGTAAGTTACTCTAATCATATTCCAGACTTAGATATTATTTAATCTTAGCTTGAAATGCCTTTCATTATTCAAGATCTGAGGTCTCTTACTGCTTAAATGAACAACTAAAGCTTTATCTCCTTTATACCTGCCACATATTGTAACAGGAATTTGCAGTAAAAATGTGCTGAATTTGGTTTCTACATGTCAAGTCTGTCAGTTGCGCATCATAATATTTTTAATCCAGGGCCTAAGACCTCATCACTTTTTATGCTTGCATTTGTGCCAAACAGCATCTAAATCCATTAGGAAATTTAATTAGTAGCCTATGTTTCATGTCTGGATCTGTAAATGTAAAGAAGTAGTAATAGTAGTAGTTCATAGTAATGAAGAACTATTTTTTTGTGAATCAGAATTTAGTGGACTTGAAATAGTTTTGCTCTATATTCTAGGACATTATTTCTGGATTTTCATAATGACATTTGAATACAACTTCTTAAAATGCATAAGACTTGTAACATCCTTTGGCTATATCCAATGTATAAACTGCAGACTGTTATATACAAAAAAAAGTAGCTCGCAAATGGAGGCTTCACAGTGAACAGAAAAATGAGCATTACCTTGTATGCAGGTCCCCTCACTGATTTCCTGTTAAAAACACAACTCCCAGGACTGCCTAGATCCCCTTGGTGAAGTCCTGTAACACAGCAGCCAAACTGCAGTGGAATACACGGCCTGCAAAACAGCTGCATATTCAAGGCAGCAGAAGAGCCCAGACTCTAAGACAGCTGTATAATAGAGGCAGACAGGTAGCATGCATAGGAACATGAAGGCAAGGACTAAAAAGAAAAGAATTTTTGCTATCAACTGGCTTGACACAGGAGGGTCAAAAAGAAATAAGGCTGATAAGAGTATAGAAGGCCAACAAGACAAAGGAGCAAAAGCATGGAAGCAAATCCCTCTTCAACAGCAATACTAAAGGGCAGATTAACCACAAAAGCACCATACTGAACTCTTGAAAAGGAAGTAGGCAACTTTTGAGTTTGGCCCACCCAAAGACTTTTAGGAAGGGTGTGAAATGATGTCTTGGCTGGTGTGAAGTGTGCAGCAAGGAGCACAGGTTGCAAAAAGGTTGGCTTTATAAGGTTAGAGTAGGGCAAGTGCTAGCCACATTGGTGTCTTCTTTGCAAGTGGTTTATCATATAGAGAGCCTATTTGGTTTTATTAAGAGGAAACTTTAACAAAATAAAACATTAGAGTTGCACTGACATCCTAGGGCTAAATAAGGTTTCAGACAATTCCTGTGGAAGCTGATACACAGGTCTGTGGGAGTAAACTATGAATTTTGCAGTCACAGTAAAGGAGTATAAAGCTGCCAATAGACAGCAACAGAAAGAACAGGAAAAAGCATCCTGAGAAATGTTCATAAAAGATGTTTTCTGGTTAAGGGCTCTAATGCTAAGAAAGGAAATGATAATTCAAGTATTAAAAATGTGAGAGCAGTTGTAAAGCATGAACAAACGATTATACTTTTCTCTCCCTCCTCAGGGATCTGTTTTTTTCAGGGCTTATGTCACAATTTTCTTGTATCTGGAACTATGTGTTATAATTAACCCAATGGAACCTAGACAGTGGATCTGCAATAGCAGTGCCTTAGCTTGGGATTGTTTTTATATTTTGTTTCAGAAAACTCTGAATCCGTGTTTTGTCACAATATTGACTTTGTCTATTTACCTGCTAAAGACAAAGCTCACAGCTCTACCTGTGTGTCAGCCTGAGGTTTGGGCTAGAAGGTATTGTAATTATCAATTCAGTTACCTCAGTACTCCTAACCTGAAATCATTTTTTTTGTGTATGATTGAACAGCAATCTGGTGGACTTCCATGCTGCAGGTTACCTCCTCCCTGGACCATTTGTGGACCATTTACCTGCCCCTCTCCCTCACATTAGCAAAGCACTGCTCTCATGGGCATGGATATTCAGGTTGATGATTCCGTGGAAAAAGAAGTGTATTTTTGGTGGCCATTCAAATTCATTCAAATCTGCATGCTCTGGCTGCCTGCATGGCTGTGTAAGAACTAGTCCTGATAGGAAATATGTGTGCATATATATATATATCGGGAAGGAGCAGAGTGGCGCAGACCTTTCCTTGATCCTTGGCAGGGTGTACTTGACAAACTACTATGGAGCCTTACTGTAAAATAAGACTTTCTAGGCTTCTGTGACTGCACAGATAACAGATAAGAGCCGTAAGTAACGCATACGTGGTATGTACCAAAGAAAACAACTGAGTGAAAAGGAGCCTCAAGCGGGATACAGATACTGTATCCTGAAGTGAGCACGTACAGCAGTTAAATGTACGACTGGGGTTAAAGCTTAGTGGTGCATATGCTTACTTGTGCTATCCTAATGTGCAAGATGGCTGGAAAGCTACTTAAAAGAGAATTTTCCAGTAAAGAAGTTGGGCATTTTCTGCAAGACAAAGGCACTTGTTTCCATGGCATTAACTAGGATTACATTTTTATGTAGAATTTAGAAAATGACTTTGAAATTTCTCCCTTGATATTGCCTATTTGAGTACAAAACCCTGAGATATTTAAGAAGAAATTGCCAGTGGAAATGGCATTCACTTTAATAGAATATGATATATTTAACCAAAGAGAAATTAATACACAAATTTGGAGATGTAGATGTATAGAAAATATATGGAGGCTACTGGACACTTAAAGGGGGACAAAGGTATATGTAGGAATTCAGAGTATTGATATGAAATACCTAAAGCTTTTTAGTTCTTTAAATTTCTTTTCACTGTAGACAGTGGATTGTAGTAGAGTCAGGAATCAGCAGATACCTAAGTGTGTAGGAATATCAGTAATATTGTTATATATGGAGGGATTGCACAAGCTAATTCTTTTCTCACTGAGTCCGATGTACTTTTCTCACCACATCTTTACTCCCTTTCTGGTTTTCAGCACTATTTTCAAGTATATCGAACATTTCCCCTAAATCTATCCTGTTGTGTCCATTCTTTTTCAGAAAGTAGGAATGTGGAATTCCTGTGACCTGGGCTCATGGTTCACGAGAAGACAAGAGGTACCCTCTATGCTTTCTGTCTAAGGTACACTCTAGAACAAAGCAGAGAAAGACAGGTCAATGTCATTTCTTAAGGAAGAACATCATTTGGGAATTCTGTGACTCAGCTTTTCATTTGTTTTACATTATTTTGTCATCTTCCTCATGTTAATATAGGAAAAGAACTCAAAATGGAAAAAAAAGAATAACGTAAAACAAAATGGCCATATGGTATGCAGTGTAAGAGAACAGTGCTTGTGTGATTCTTTTTTTGATTCACAGAGAAAAATAAGATGCAATGGAAGAGAATACTTCGAGAAAGCGTAAGTACTTCTGAAAGTCTTATCCTCTTCCACTCAAGAATGAATTAAAAAAAAACTCAAAACAGATTGCATTCTGAATATGAAATTCAGAGCTTATTTACCACCAGTAAAGTGAAAATAATTACAGTATTCTAATGTTCTCCCCCTGTCTAACTGCATTTCAAAACAGTTTCATAGGCTTAGAGCCAGAATACTTTTAATGCTAGCCCAAGCTTTGGTCCAATCTTTTTTACACTTTCATGAATTGAGGATTCAAAGACAAGATTTCTGAACTTGCTCTGTAAAACAATAAAATACCACGTGACACCCTCCTATTTCAAAAATGCCAACATCAGTAACAGCCTTACATCAATAAAAGGATGTATGGCAGCAAACATATAATGATAATGGTACTTTGTTATCAGGCTGTCACATCACAAATCACGGAGCCATTCATCAGGAAATGACAAAACTAGAGAAAAACAAAGCATAGAAGACTTAAAAACAGATGCACCAGCAGAATGTGAGGCCATGCTATAAAAGCAAGTCGAAGTATTGAGGAAATATTTCTTCCATGTCCCCAAAATGTCATGCAGGGGTATTCGGCATCTTCTGCTACACATTTATATGTGTCTTCCTAAATGATAGCTATTAAACTGATGCATCTTTGGGATTAGATACACCCCTTTTCTAAGTAACCCTTAGCAACCATTTTGGGACTGTTAATTGGTCTTCTAGTCCATATTGGGTTGTCTGATTTGTTTTCATAGCACTCATTGAGCTCTGCTTTTAGATGAGACATGTATGCAGTGTTTAAAGAAAAAAAAACAAGGATTAAAATACCACCATGAAGCCTGTGGAACTGTATTTTTTACTTGCCACTTTTCTTTTTATCAAGGCTTTATCAAGGAAAAAAAGACAAAGTGCAAGAGAGTCGGGATAATTAACACAGTCTTTCATAGAGGCGCATAGTTTAACAAGTCCCTTAAAACAATTTTACCTTTTTTCCTTGAAAATGCAGAAAAAGATATAGCTATGAGGACTCGGGCTGCTCTGTAGCAAAGTGACAGGCACTTCCTAAAGAGAAATGGGAACAATTAAAGAGGCAAATGGGAGAACTAGAGAATTGGTGCAATGAGAGGTTTTTTCCCCAACTTTAGTTGAAAACTATTGCCCTTGGATTTGAAATTATTGAAGTTTTAGTCATCAAATAATTGCCTTTGCTCCCAAAGGGAACAATCTAGCCTGTTTAAAAAAAAATAAAACCTATAGTGCGAAATTACTGGTATATTTAGTACTGTTGACAATCTTCATATTAGCAAAGAGGTCAAAGAGACTGAATTATGGAAACTAAACTGTTTTGAAGCAGAAAAAATGACATAAAAGATCCTATTTGGGAGACTGTCTCTACCATAATTCACTTATTTACAGCTAATGTTTGATAGTTAAAATAGCCAATGAGTCCAATAACTTATGCCATGTGACCAGTGTGCATTTTTGTTGAAACTACTAGTCTTGTATGAGACAAAAGTCTCTGAACAGATTTTTTGTCTTATTTTTGACACGTTTGCTTTGGAGAGAGAAATTCAAGCTGGGACTTAAACTGGGACTTGTATTTTCTTCCTAATACAGCTACCAATACATGTCTTTTGTTTAGTTATTACTGAGTTTTGCTTTAAGCCTGTCACATGGCTTTTGTTCTCCCTGAATAACTGTAACATTGCTAGTTATCTTATAAAGCCCAGTGCAAATAACATGAGATGTCTTTTTATCCCTAGGGTCTCTGTCACCTAGGATTTGTAGCTTAAGGCAGAATGGAATGAGGTCTAATTTTTTGTATATAAAAATAGATTAATTTCTTATGAACTCTGCTATATTGCAAATTTGCTATCTTGCACTGATGATTTGCATCAGCTACAGTGCCTTGATAGCCTAAATTTCAAGCAGGCACAATATCATTGGATCTCCTATTTGCTCTGTCATGTCTAACCTAATGTGTGCATTGTAACTCTAAATGTGATTACAAGGAGCACTGCAAATTTTGCTCAGGATCACAGAATCTAGACATTTCTTTTTCGTTCAGAAAGTATTACAAGAAAAATACAGGGCACAATAAGAAGTGAACTGGCATTCTCCTGTTTATGTGCCTGGCAGAAGAGAGAGTGCAGTGGCTCAGGCAGAGCTTCTCAGAGAAGTGTAGGATTGAAAATAACAGAAGAGAAAACCATTGATTAATTTAAAAATGTTAGATATATGCAAATATTTTGCAAATACAGAAGGTGATTGTTTGCAACAACGGCAAGAGTCAACTACTTGGATGGCTGTACTCATTCTGCCAGATAGGGGATGTCATTACTTTGGGATTGTGCCCTATAGACCATATGTCAGTAGTTTGCACTAAGTTTCTTAACTTGTCTTCCTCCTAAGAATAAGGTTTGTCTTTTATCTCAGATTATTTTTCCCATCATAAGCTGTGGATATGTAGGGAGCAGAGTGCAAACAGCTGTACAGCTGTGCTAGTGGTGCCCTTGGCACCTTTCCTGTGTGATCTGGATCCTGTGCAACTGTGTGCTGCACAGTGGGCAGGGCTGGAAGCCTGGCTCGCCATCAGGCTTTGGCATCTAACAGATGTTAGGACTCAAGCTGAGTGTCCAATACAGACAGCAAGTAGGGTGACCTTATGGTCACTGCTGTCCATATAGCCAGACTTTGAGTTTCATACTTCAGTAACCCTAATGTGTTTTCCTAAGCTCATAACAAAGTCTAGTAATAGCTACTTTGTGACAAATCCTCTTTATCTCTTCTTTATCACTTTTTAAAATTTTGGCAGCTGTTTTGGATGAGAACTTCTCTTTTCTAGAAGTTTGTCTATCTTCTAAACAGTGGTTCTTCAATCTCTTGTTATTTTGATAGCAAATAGAGTACCACAAAAGCAAGAGAGTTCATCCCTTGCAGCCTGCCAGTCTTGTGGTCAAGTCTATCACCTGCCTAATCCATTTCCATTATTTAGGAATAAAACAATACATGCCAATTCTTGAACTTCCTCCCAAGGACTGCTGCTCATAATTTTCAAACAAGCCTCACACTTACTCAACTAAAATTGTTTGCATTCATGATATTATCTCTTCATACAATAAAGTGATTGTTTTTATCTACTACTGCTGGTTGTTCTTGTGTGCTTGCTTGGTCTGCTCCTTTTCAATGTTGCTCGTACAAATCAGAAGGCCAGTGATATTACTAAGCTTTACTTGACCTCTGAAAGAGTTCCCAGTGAGAACTTCATTTCTGTTTTTGGCATTTTACCTAACCCTTACAGAAAGCTGGATCTTCATTTTAGCCTGAGAAAAAGCTACCAGAAAAAGTTATCATAATGCCATGTGCTCTTTCCTTCACTTTTCAAAGGCAATGGTAATTTGCATTAAAATGGAATCCCTAGTTCTTTATTTTTAGTTTTCAGTTGAAAGAGAAAAAGCAAAATTTATTCTAAATAACCTTGATTTGCTTTTCAAGTTATCAACTTCTGCTTTGAATATTCATTTGTTACTTTAACCTAATAATTCTTTTTCAGTTTACAGAATTAAATTTTCCTTGCCACACCTGTGGTTATTTCCTTATCTAGCTTAGCACTGCCATTGAGTAGGTGCTTTCTCTGCATGGCAGCTTTCCAGCGGGCAGTAGCTGCTGTCAATGCAGATGTGTTTAATCAATAAGGGTGTTTCTCATACCCTCTCACCAATGTTTAGAGCAAGTTACCTCCCTTTTAGGTCCAGTCTTTGGTGAAACAAAAATGTAAAACAAGCGAAGGAGCTCTTGACTATTATGAAATAGAAACCAGATTTCTGTATTTTTATTCAGCATGTATCCTTTGCTCTTTTTTTAAACAGTCACTGACATTTTAGCAATCCAGATGCTGCAGCTTTTAATCAATGATTCAGTACACAGCCCATGAGATGTGCCACAACACTTCAACAAGCAAGTTCTATCTCTCCATGGGGACAAAGGATCTGAGTTTGTGTCAGTCTCCCCTTGTCAGTTATAATTAACCATAGATCCATTTACATACATAAATATTTATACACAAAGAGAAGACTTCCTAGTGCTTTATCAGATCTTTTTATCACTGTTGGTTCTGATGACAGCAAAACACAATTTGGCTTTGTTAAAAGCTCACAGAATTTTGCACATTCTCTTTCTATAATGAAATTTTAGCATAGTTCTTTAGGTGTTAAGTAGCTGCAGCTTCTGGGGCCGTCAGGATATAGTGGTTGCATATATTTCTTATTTTAAATCATCTTGACAATGTCTGAAGATAGATACAAAAAGAATGAATGACAAATTGTACAAAACCACAGAACTTACAAGACTTTTACATTTTTATGTCTTTTTAAAGAAACCAAAACCCTTGTGTCACACAGCAAGAGTGGCAGAAAAAATTTACACAGGATTCTCAAACTAAAGCACAGCCCAATGTTACTGCATAGCTTGTCCTTGGTGTGACCTGCTCAAGAAAAACTAACTTACCTGCCACTAAGCCACTGGAAAAGCCCATGCAACTGTTCTGCTCGACACCAGCTCTTGTTGGAAAAAATGAGAACTGTCTATGCCAGTTGCATAGGTGACACTTCTGCTCTAGTAGGTAAGATCTGAACGTGCCTGGGTCCATGTACAACCATCTGGATCACTTGCACTTGATTTCCAAGGCCTGAAATCAGTATGTAGAAGTAGCAGTTATTAAGAACTAATTATTTAAGGACTTGCAAATGTGACTGCTGTGAAGTGTAAAGACTTCAGCTGAAAAAAAAAAATGGAGTATATGTTAGGAGTGTTGGTCCTAGGGGGAGAGGGAGAGAGAAGCTAAATTAACTTGAAAGTGGCTATTAAATTGAGGATCTTATTTAATTTGCTAGTTCATTTTGTTTGTAGCATTTGGCTCCCAAAGTTACCCTTCCAAGTATTGGATATGGTCTGAAGCATTTTGTTTTGTTTTCCTCCAGTTATCTCATGTGATCTTGGAAGATTTTCTCTCAGTCCACCGCTTCAACAACCATGAGCACCTCCACGCTATAAATAACCTTTGCTTCTGTTTTATCATCAAAACTCCACGTTACTGCTGCTGAGTTAGAATTTGAGCAACTGAGCAAAGCGACTTGTTGCAATTGCATCATCTGCTTTGCTAATACGTAACATGATTTCTGCAGAAAGCTGATAATTTAACAGACTGTTTGACAAGTGTCTTATGAAATTAAGTAGACAAACTGCTAACAAGAGATTACAAATAAAAAGTAATTGTCAATAAGGTATAATTTAAGCTTAGAAAGGAAGGGAAATTTAATTGCCCTTCAGGCCAGAGCTAAGAGCAAAGCAAAAAGTATCAGTCCATGATTCTGTCCACAGTACGCAATCATTGGATTCTAAGGATGGGAATTGGAAGCGGAGCAGGGAAAAAAGATGTCTGGGAGAAAATACATAAAGAGGAGCACAAGAAATAATAATTCATTCCCTATGATGGCTTTCTGGAACTGATTTAACATTGCAGCCATACAGATGGCTTTCCTAGTGATCTCTTGGCTGTGTTTGTAGTCCACTCTATCATAATATTTCTTTTTGGTCTTTTGTAGGTTAGTAGTGCTTTAAAAGCAGAGGCTATTAGAAGCAGCAGTAACAGGGAAATATTGGAGTTTTCAAGGACTGAATGGGCTGGAGACTCAGAGCCGCTACTAGACCTTTATATTCTCTTTTAGAAATTCTTTTAAATAATCATGCTGAACTTGTCCCAGGTTGCTTTTAATTCTGAGTATGTTCTTTATTTCTTGAGAGGTTGCTTATTAGCATAAAATCCCAGACATTGCATTCTGAGATTTTTCTAGAAGATGGCTTGATCTTCAAATTCTAGCGTAGGGGTAGTTACCCAGAGCCATGTGCTATGTGCTCTGAAGCACGAGATTATTCAGCCTTCTGCAGAGCAACAGTCCACCTGCTCCACTGAGCTGCTCTTTGCAAGCAAGGTGGGCTGTCAATTTCCTAAAAATATAGTGCTAAAAACTACATAGCTGTATATGAAACAGTTAATGATGACTCATATTTACACACACACAAAAAAAAAACAGTTCTAGTATTTATAAATAATTTTGGACAGTGACATAAAATTGGGTTCCAATTCCATGAACTGTTTGTATTGAATTCAGCCATTCAGTTACAGTTAGTGTTGTGGAATTGAGATGCATTTCATCCCTTTGTGATGTACAGCAGTCATCTCATGTGAAATAAACACAGCAATTTTCTTTTTTTTTTTCCGAAAGCAAAAGTTATTTTTAAGAGATAAAAGGCAATAAAGGATAATTCAGAGACAAATCCAAAAAGCAATCACAGTTTCTCTGATGGATGGACATAGGTAAGCTGAAAACTAAGATGTGCAGCTGCCTAACCCTGCAGATGCCTGGGCTCACCAGGGGCTCCTTTTCATACCTGAGCATTCCTGAGGCATCCGTAATTCTGCTGTGCAGCAAGCCCAGAACTTTTCCTATTCAAAGAACCTGCTATCCAGTTCCTAACCAAGCTAGATTGCATCTGTTGCAACCTAGCAAGTACCTGCAGGATATAATGCCCGATATAATAGGCATGCTGATAGTATTCTTCACATGCATTCAGGGGATCAGCCCACATGTAGTGCAAAGGGTCCTCCTGTCCTTCCACAGCAGTGACAAACTGTCACGTTCTCCTCAGTCTGCTCCCTAGCAAGCCAGGTTATCCCTCCAGATCTGTTGCAGAGAGCAATGTAAAAGGAGAGCAAGTGAGGAGGAGCATTTAGCCTGGCAGTGAGGTATCGCACAGGGAAGGGGAAACCATCTACTGCATTTTGCAAGTTAAATAGCAATGCTTGCTGTATTAATTTAAATAATACTTGAGTCTGATAGGCAAAGCTCCAGTGCGGAGTATGAGGAGATCTTTGATGGCCACAGTAGTCAAATCCCTTGAAGTTAAAAGTATTGTTCTCAGGAGAGATTGCCTGAATTACTGCCAAAACAACACACAAATCGATCACACTCCTTATACAAAAACTATTACTCTGTACTTTTGTTTAGATCACTGAGCCCTTTCTAGAGTGTCAGAGGAGGTGCCTGCATGCACACTGGCTGCACTAGAGGGAGCAGGAACCCTGTCTCTGCCGTGGGCAGCTTTGTCTCATCTGGGCTCCTGTTGAACACAGGCTGTTCAGAGGCCATCAGCGTGATCAGGTTCCTGGTCATCGAAGACAAAACCGTGCGACGGAAACATTGATGCGAATCAAAGCTGAAGATCTATGTGGCAACAGGGATCTCCTCACTTCCTGTATATTTTCTCCTTTGAACACTGCTAGCTGTTTCAGAAAATTTATTTCATCAGAAATCACCTGTATTTGCAATCGTTTTCTCCTAATCTAGGATCAAGGTGCATGGTATTTATATGCCTCACAGATTCAGGGAATTCCTCACTTGATCATGATCCAGATTTTACACCTCTGATCAAAATTTCCCATGTCAACCATCCCCTGATTCACTTCTTTGTAGAGCAGACAGAGCAAACCAGAAACTTGTTACGAGCTCCTCTTCTAAAGACGAAAAAAACTCCCTAGATTGATAGTATAGTCTGCTTCTGTCTGTAAATTGCAGGAAAAAATGACCTATGCCAGATCAGTGAAAGAGGTTTTTCTTAGCTGAGAGGCATGGTTTAATCGCTACTATAAAGCATTCTTATAGTTCCATCTAAAATGCTCTAACAAGGGTTTTTCTTAACAAAGGAAAATCCATCAAAAGCCCTCAAGGAATCCATGAGAAATCACAACGTGTTCATTGTCTTCCTTTTCTGTGCCAAACAGATACCTGCATCTGTAAGACTGTAAATGGTAAAAAGAGGAAGAGCACAAGAAAAAGAAGGGATAACTTATAAAAATACTGCTTATCTATTGCTGCAATAGCTGTAGAAGAAGATTCTCCTGTATCTTAAATAGGAAACAATATTCTACTATCTAAAGAAGCAACATATATTTTTTATATGTTAAAACCAAAGTCAATATTACTCTTCTGAAAAGATTGATTCCCAGGTCTTCAGTCATGGTAGTTTCTTGCACAGTTTCAACTCTTTTCTAGATTTTAATCCTTTTCCTTTTCTGCTTCCTTTTTAGCTCATGTTCTTGCCAGCTTCTTCAAACAAAACAGTTATCAGAACTCTCCACTATCATTTTTTTTTTGCCATCTCTCAACCTCTCCCTTTACTCCAGCTTTCACCTGTGATTATTTGTCTTTTTTTCTTGCTTAGCCTTTTCACTGTCTGACAGTTCCCTATACTGTCCTTATTACTTCCCTTCCTCTTGCTTATTCTTAACACTCTCCTTTTCCTCTGGCTCTTTTCTTTCAGCCTTCAGTCATATCACAAGTTCTACTATTACAGAATAATATTCTCTTTACTGTTATTTATTTCTCCACTGCTCCCCATCTCCTTCTATCTGTACACAAAGTATATAATCTGTTTCCTTTTTTAAAAGAAGAACTTTTAATTCTTCATCATCCATAACATTCTGCAAAAGCTGAAAAAAAAATCCAGTAGTCCAGTTAGTTTAGAGACTCAGAGCTTTGAAATCTTAAACAGTGGTCATCATTTTTCAGGAAATGGCAGATGGCTGTTGGAAAACTTCTGGAAAATGAAATTCCTCATCAAAATAAAAAAAGCTCTTGGGAAAGGTCTTGATGCTTTTTGTGGTGCTGTGTTGCACCTTAACAGAAACAAGCAGCCATTCCACTCTTTTCCTTGCTTTTGACAGGAGAATAAAACCTTCAGAAATAACTAATCTGTATTATAGGATGGGAGAAAAAGGACAACCTACATTGTTCAGGACATGTCAACAATCCTTTTATTTGCCTGCACACCCCAAATCCCTTCAGTTCAAACTTTGATTTGGGAGCCCGTTCTCCTTTTAAAACTACAAGACATATTAAAAAAAAACCCTTTTTTTTTTAATGTGGCCTATTTCTACTGCAATAGTCTGCAGATGAGAGAAGGGAATAGAAAAGTTATTAAAGTATTTGGTGGATTCTGACATTCTTTATTTCTATGTCCTCGATTAAGTAATTTCACTTCAGTGTTCCTTAGTTTTCTCAGCTATAAAATGAAACTAATACAGCTTGCCTACCCTTAAGATGACCGGAGAATGCTAACCTTTCAAGAACTACATTAAAAATTTTGCTTCACTTTTATCAACTGTTCCTATCACTTGAGGGTATGTGAAGTCTCTGCAATCCAACCCTCTGAGGTCTTTCTTGAAAGAGCATTTACTGATGACATGCAATTTGTGTGGCCCATCTGACAGCCCAGACACCTTTAGTTTCTCAGTTCGTGTAAGCCAAGTCCTTTGTTTGAGATGTATCAGAATTGTGACTTGTGAATTTAAGACTGCCAAACAAGTCATGCACAATCATGCACAGACATGCAGAGCAAGAATAAAAGATCTGTCAACCAACAGCTTGGTGAAAATGCAAAATGCAGCTTAAGAAACACTGAGTTTATTTTGATTTCAACCTTACTTTAAAATTTCCTTTTCCTCTGCAGGTACAGACACAAAGTCTAAGACATTCCTTATAATCATCTAATCATTAACCAAAGCACCCAGCTCTTTCTCCTTAATTGGTTCCAATTGACAAATGCACTACTTAATAGCAGAAATTATGGCTGTTAGTGTCCAAATGCATGACATTTTACTTTGCTCTATTGAATTTCTATTATCCAGGTCTCTTCCTGCGTGATATTCTGATCTTCCTGTGAACTGGCATACTAACACACTGACTTTGTATCCACAGCAGAGAGCGTCGCTCCTGCTGCTCCCTGCACACGTGTGATCCCAGGTACTGCTCCTCATATTGAGCACTGCTTGCTGCAGCCTTTTTATCCGCACTGATTCTTCTCCATCTACTTCTTGCACAGCATATGTGAATAAGGTGGGAGAAAAGCCTTAACACTTCACCTACCAGAAGGAAGGATATGATTCATTTAATCTCATGAGTCTTGTAACCAAAACTAGAACGAACTGTAACCTTATATCTATAGATTTCCACTGCACTGCTAGTGACCATCACTCTTGGGCTCAGCAATCTCACCACATCCCTAAAACTGTGTCTCAATAACTCACTGCTAGGATGAGGCTGTTTTCTAAACAAGGAAGGACCATCTGTGGCCTGCTACCAGATTTGCAAGGTCTACTTCACAACCGTGTACAATTAGCTAGCATTGGCTCTATAGCAATATATTCCTATTTCTAGGCTTTCAATCT